CCTGCAGCAGCCTCAGACATGCTTCAGGCTCTGCTGAGCACACAGAATGCCCCCACACCTCAGCTTTACCAACAGCTCTCTCTCTTCTCTGGTCAGCAGCAGAGAGGCTGAGTTCTCATCCTGCACCAGCTGCAGAGTCTCTGCCAGCTGGAGGGTGAAGGAGGCTGTAGCAGGTGAGCCTTTGACTGATTCCATCCTTTGCATTCATGGTCCCATAGGAAGTCTGGATTCTCAGACTTCCATTGCCAGAGCAGCAATCCCAGGGCTGGGTTTGTGTCCCAAGCCATGGGTCACTCTTCCTCAGAGAGCCCAGAAACAGCACTCATATCAGTGGCTGACAGCCATTTGCCAAGTCATGTATTTTTTTTAACAGCATTGACAACTTGAGTTTTTCTAGGACTATCAATTTCTTGTGGATGAGGAGAAATCATCATATAAATATTCATATGTATACAAATTCATGCCATATACAAATTCAGTACTCACACATACAAATATACATATTCATCCAGAATACAGCTTGGATGAACTGCAGTGCATCTCCAAGGTTTCTGGGTTATTCTTTACTGCTAGAAACTGGGTTCCAGCCCTACACACCTCAATTCCATTTCCTCCCCTAGGGATTCACTCTGCAAACATGCCCCCATCATGACCCAGCTCTAGAACCCTATCCTCCCCTTGGATAAAGAGTCGGTCCTACACCCACTCAGGCAATATTTGACCCAGAAACCACCTGTCTATTAAATCTTCACACACCCTATGAATTCAGTCCATTGAAATAAATTTTAAAAGCCTTACCAGTGCAAACCAATGAAAACTATGAAGAGTGCAGCTTTCACTCTCCTGGCCTCCATGGTACAAAACGTACCAAGAACAAGTGGGGCAGAACAGCTGCTCTTTTAGGAGGTGTTCCACAACCCCCACTTCATTTTCTACTGACAAGGCTGTGAATTATGCACCTCCATACCATTTCCTCAGAGGACACCATATTATTAACCCCACCAAACACCACACTGGTTTCTCAATAGCAAGGGCAGTGATGGGCACTGTTAGGAGAAGGGCATGGATCTCATTTCCACCCTGCCCTTGTCCAGTGGACATTAGAGAGGCTTTACAATCTAATTAAATTTCCCCTCCTTTCACAACATGGGTGCCTATCCTGGCAACTTGCTGATGAATTAAATCTCTTGTTGTTGTTGTGATTGCTAAAATGTTTACCAAACTCCAGAACTAAAGCAAACTAATTTAGATTATAGCAGAGTGCCACCTAGTGCTAAGCAGGTTTGATTTCAAAAGCCATGCTCTTATCTATAAGAAAATATTGACTAGAAATTAATTCTCAGTTGTACTGGCAGTGTAAGAAACCCTCTATTATAATAATAAAAGAGTCTGTACTAATTATGTTCTTTGCAAAGCTGACAAGGCCCTGCCACTAGCAAAACTCTGCAGTGAGTGCATTTTCTCAGTCACATGTGCCCTCCATTGATTGACTTTTTGTCCCACCAAGAGACAACCTAAACCCCCTGGCTGAAGTGAGCACATCACACGAGCCAGGAGTATTTTCTGTATTACAGATGAAAGGCATTTTCCGACCACAGCAAACACCAACCAAAACATTTCTATGTCCCACAACTCCCTGAAGAGACATGAGGTGAAAACTCTGCCTGTGGGCTCTCAAAATGGTAAAGGACATGAGCAGGCATGAGGGAGACAAAGGTTTTCACTCCTTAAATGCATTTACTGGTGTTCCAAAGGGATGTATTAGGCTGGCAGAGTGTGGGAGCAGGAAGAAATTCCCTGATAGCTCCAACAGAGATTAAGCATTTCCCACTGTTAAGCTAGAGAAAGCATTTCCCTGGCTAGGATGATGTTCCCATGCTGTAGATTTTCTTCTCAGAGGCCAACAAAGCAAAAATTACGTGGGCTTTCTTTTTTAAAATTTCCTAACACACCCAACAACAGGTGTTTTGTAAAATGAGATTTCCCAGAAAATGATAGCCAGAGTGCAGAAATTTCAGTCCCTTCTCTGGTGAGTGCTACATGTGGTAATGAACAACTGGCTCAGACAGACTCGGGGTGGAGCACAGATATTCCCAGGAAAACACAGTCTGAGGTAAAGTCTATTTGCTGCTCAGTTCTGTCTTCTTCCTTGGGTGTGTTTGTGAAAAAGTTGAGATTAACTGACATTTATTAGCAAAACCACAGCCTATATTTAGGCTAATAGAAATGGGCAGAATGGAGCAAGAAATAATACAATGAATTATTCTGGATTACCATTCCAGCTCTTGTCTCATCCAGATCAGTGCTTTCTGACTCCAGCAAAGGCACAAAACTCCACTGTCGCTGTTGGCCTTTGGAGCCCATCATAATTTACAAGTATGGACCATGGCATAAAAGTTATCAAATCTTTCTGTTTTACAGGACAAACAAGACTTCATGGCTGCTGAGTAACTATTTCTAAATATGAAAAATACACCCTTGCAGAACACAATTTGATGAGGGTTTTTTGGGTTTTTGGTTGGGTTTTTGGTTCAAAGCAGTTGAGTTTGAGAGGAATGAAACACAACAGTGTGGCAATTTGAACCCTTTGTCTGCTGTGCAACTACTGTAGGAGCAAACAAAACTACTTTCCTTGTGTGACAAGCAGAAGCCATCTGCTCTGACCCAAAAGCCTCAAAAGATGAGAAGTGCCACTGTGCCGAGGCAATTCCCATTTTTAACCTGTGGAAGAACTTGGTGCAAGCCCAGCAGAACATTGGCAGGGTGTGGGGATGCCTTGGGGCCAGTGGCCTTGGCAAGACTTGCTCATAATCATCAAACTTTTGATGCCTGAAGCTGGTCCCACTGCACCACACAAAGCTCAGGACAGGAGGCTCCAGCCAGCAAAACTGCTGTGCACTTGCACACCCTTTCATACTGCACTCTGTGTGTATCACTGCACTCTGTGTGACTGAGCTCCTACCCCATGGATAGATGGAAGTTCCCTACCCTCTACATCTTAAAAATCAGAAGTCCTTGTCACTGTCATGGTTTCTGAAAAATCCCTTCACCAGGATTTCTTGTCCTGGGAAGCTGAGAAGCCTCAGAAAAGAATGAAAACAATAATTATCTGATTGCTTCTCCTGTGTTTGCTGCTTTGGAATGTGGTCTGGAGATTGTTTACCAACAGGTGCATGTTTGATTGGTTTCCTGTGAATTGTTTTTACTTAATGACCAATCACCATCAGCTGTGTCAGACTCTGAGGAGTCAGTCACAAGTTTTTTCATTATCATTCTTGTTAAGCCTTCTGTCCATATCCTTTTTCTTTCTTTAGTATAGGTTTAGTATAGCATTCTTTTAATATCATATAATATCATATAATAATAAATCAGCCTTCTGAGAACATTCCTCATCTCTCACCTCGTCCTGGGGACCCTCACAAACACCACAAGTCCCCTCACTCAAAACCTAAAACAGTAATTAAGACAAAAAATAAACTGTGGCTGATTCTAATTTATATACATATATATATATATATATCAGCAGTCCATACTCTCCAGCACACTAAAAGAAATGAAACCTCCACAGCTGGTTCAGCTCTCTGGTCCTGCAAACCTTGCTTGAGGCAGAGAGAGGATTAACTCCATCCTCGCTAGAGTAATGCTCAAAAAGCTCCTTCTCCTCTTACAGGGTGCCCAGACAGAGGCAAAGTGAAGTGCTGCTGTTCCCACATTCCCTGTTTTTCTGGGAATGAACCCACATCAGCCCAAGTGCAACAGGTGCCACGAGCTCTTTCACCATGTGAGATTCTGTCCCACGTGCTGGTGTGCCACAGAGAAACGTGTGCCTCTTCCCAAGTGTGCAAAGATCACCACAAAACCTATTTCTATATGTTTCAAAACACATCAGATAACATTTACCTATATATATAGTCTGGCAAGGCAGCACACCTGTAGAATTTTTCTTCACTTGGGGTTGCCAAATGTGGTGGTGTTCACAGGGGTCTTAGGATGAGGGAAGAGATGAGAATCTTGACTATGTGTTTCAGAAGGCTGATTTATTATTTTATGATATATATTGTATTAAAAGAAAATTATATATTAAAACTATACTAAAAAATAGAGGAAAAAATTTCATCAAAAAGCTAGCAAATAATAGAAAAGAATGATAACAAAAGCTCATGACTCTCAGAGAATCTGAGCCAGCTGTGATTAGCCATTACTTAAAAAAACCAACATAAACCAATCAAAAATGCACCTGTTGCATTCCACAGCAACTGATAATTATTGTTTTTCTTTTCCTCTGAAGCTTCTCAGCTTCTCAAGAGAAAAATCCTAGCAAAGGGTTTTTTCAGAAAATATCTTAGTGACACACACCTGTTGCACAGGAGTGAGATGGCCCCATGCTACACCCAGGGAAACACACAAGGGTGAAGCCCTTTTTCCCACTGAGGGAAGCTCCATCCCCATGGGATGCCAGCACTCTGGCATCTCCAGCCTGCATCCAAGCTGCCTCCCCCCAGCACAGCACTGCCCATGGGCTCTCCTGAGGTGACATTTCACAAGGACACGCTCCTTGTCTGGGCTGTGACTCCAACACAGGCTCAGCTGCCTGCCCAGGGCTCTGCTTTAAGAAACCACTCTCCATTAGGAAGCTTCTGTTCTAACCAAGGACCTTTTAAAACCAATCCAGCAAACATCTAGGAGTCCCATATTACAAAACTGCCCAGACAAAACAAAGGGACTGGGCCCAAATTCCCTGCCTGCCGATGGAATCCTCCTCCTTGGGATATTGCATTTGAGCTGCTCCGAGCAAAATGCAACACTCAGCTGTAAAATATTTTCTTTTTGGCAGCTCCCAATCTTGTTCCAAAGGCACATGTGAAATACATTCCTGGGTAATCTTGGAGTGAAGTGGGCCAGATGGTAGCAGTCAGATGTGACCCAATTCTTCTTAAGCTCTCATATTTTCATAAATGTGTGCTTAAACCCCTCTCCCACCACATATATGTATTTCTGACCTTTTTCTGAGGCAGCTGCAGGCACACACAGAGCTGTCACCTTCTGGCAGCCTTGGGGGTGAAGGAGCTGTGCACATCTGTACTGGAACAAACCATCCTGTTTCAGTTTTCATCCCACTTCCCATGGACCAAGGGGATATCAGGCAGCCTCCTGGTTGAAGGAGGGTGAGGGAGCGGAAATACTTTCTTCAGACTTTACTGAAAGGAAACAGATAAAAGAGGGGTGGGGGTGGAAACTGGTTCCATTTGTTATATCAGCTGGAGGGGAGGGAATGGCTGTCCAAATGGCTGAGGGAATGGCTGTAAAGCATTTTAGCTGAAGGCTTAGGCTTGTTTTTCTCAGCAAGACTTCAAAATGCCTGATTTTTGTCCAATTAAACTTGCGTGCGGGCTCTCCCCTCCTTCCGCAGGGTTTCCTTTTGCTTCTTATTTTATTTTTGCTTATCTAGCACAGGCATCTGAGTCATATCCCTGGTGTCTAAATGTTTCAACACTGACTGCAGTGTGGCAGAGCTCAGGGTGAGCCATGTGGCTCTCACTAAAATCCATTGTCACAGGAGGATCACCTCCGAGGGCAGGGCAAGGGAAAGCCCTGCCAGCCCAGATGGCAGCTGCCAAACAGGGCTAGGATGGTCCTGGCTCTGCTCTCTGCAGGATTCCTCACTCACCTACCAGCAGTTTTAGGATGGCAGGTCTGATTTCACATGTCCATCCAGACAGACCCCTTCATAAACCTTTATTCCATAAAATTACAATTTTTCAGGGCTGTTCTCTCTGACTAGAAGCTTATTAGTACTCAGTCATTACTACCTCACCACAGTACCTACAGAAAAGAAACCAATTAATTCACTAACAAGTCTGTCTTTCCCAGCTAAGGAGAAGCAGAGTGAGAGCTGTCTGTTAAAATGGCTTTTCTGCCCATCAGAAGAGTTCAGCAAAGGAATGGATACAAGCTCCCTCCTTTAGCCTTAGCTAAACATTTTATAGGTTTAGAAGAAAACAATCTATGTTCAGCAGGTATCTACAGCTTGTCCTGGCAATGAGGCCAGTGGAAGGTCTGTGTCTGGATTCTGGATTTGATAGGAAATGGGATGTCAGCCAAGAGAGCCCAGGCACACCTCTTCTGTGCCCTGCAGCCTGGCACCAGCATGGTCCTCCCTCCTGGGACACCCCTGCACAGCCAGCAGCACCTGCCTGGCTGGACAGCCACAGCCACACACAGACACATCTCACTGAATTTATAAGCTGTAGCCTTCCTCCTTCAGTGGAAAAGCTGAATGGAGGCAATTTGTTGAGCAGAAGCATATTGCATAAAGGAAAATCCTAAAGCGACACCAACATTTCGTCCCACATGGTGGAGGATCAGTCTGAGCAGCTGAATTTATGTTCCAAGGCAGAGCTCAGGCTCCCTGGTGGTGGCTGGGAGCAGCTGCTCACTGTGGCAGGGCTCACAGTGCACACACAGAACAACTTTGGCAGTGAGAAGCACAGCCTGGGGATCCCACACCGGCATCTCACCAGTGCAATGGGTTTGCATTGCCTGCCAGGAACTGTTTGGTCTGGAGAAAAAAAAGCTCAGTGAGGACCTTATCACTCTCTGTTACCACTCTATTGCCCTAAAGGAGGTTGTAGTGAGGTGAGGTTTGGACTCTTCTCCCAGGCACCAGTGACAGGACAAGAGGAGAAGGCCTTGAGTTGTGCCAGGGAAGGTTTAGATTGGGTTTGAGGAAAGATTCCTTCACTGAAAGAACTGTCAGGCATTGGAACAGACTGCCCAGAGAGGTGGTGGAGTCACCATCCCTAGAGGTATTTAAAGGACATCTAGATGAGGCACTCAGAGATATGGTTTAGTGGTAGACTTGCAGTGTTGGGTTAATGGTTGGAGTCAATAATCTTAGAGGTCTTCTCCAACCTAAATGATTCCATAGTTCTAGGATTTAATACATTGCTGAAAGCATTTTTTGAAGTTTCTCTCGTTCTTTGCTGTTTCTTGCCAAAGCTTGTTGCAATGCAGAGATTGAGCTGGAGAGAAGTGCTTGCTCAGAAGTCAATGTGGCAACAAGACACTGCCAGTGCTAGCAGCATACCCATGGCATTCCTTCCCAGAAAATGAGCAGCTTAAACCTGAGAGACCAGCTACACCAAAATACAGCTTGCTAATTTAGGAAAAAATCCAATAACAAAAACCCAAGCCACCACCACCACCACCACAAACAGCACTGCCAAAACTCCCTCTCTAAATATGTTCTTGAAAGGCAAAATCCTATTTTCACACAGTCACTGTTTACTCTGGTGAAAAAGAGAAAGAAACACCTTTTTGGCCACTGCCCAAAAGACAGAGAGATCCTGATAACTAATACTGTTCACATGGAGTCAAAGTTTTGGCAGAGAGATTATATAATCAGTTTCTACCTGCAGCAAGTTAAAATACCAGATGTTCTGCAAGTGAATGAGAAATAAAAAATACAAAAAAACCTACATATTTTTGGAAAATCTTTCCCAAGTTAAAATGTAGCTGTGCAGCACTGCTTGGTTTCAGTGTTAGTAGAAGCCCACAAAGCCACCTTAGGTAATCACAGGTGTAACAAAGGCAACGTAAATTAATCCAAGTATTTCACCAAGAATGGGGAAAATCTGATTTAAAAATTTTCTGGAATGTCTTTGTATAAATTTCTGCAAAGCTGTAATGTTTTCTTTCCAAGCTATCCATTAGCTCCAACATGAGGCAGAAAATTGTCTTATTGCATTTCCTCCTGTCATCAGTGGGTGCAGGTGCTTCCCAGGTCTAACTTGGGAGGTGTGATTTTCACCTTCTGGTAAGACAGCAGCACAGGCAGTCATCAGCCCAGCTCCAGCTGTACCAAGCTGCTGGTCAGAGATGAGTGAAGGGTACTGGAACACAGCTGGAAAACCAGGACTGGCCACACACAGAATGTCCAGGATCTCATGGGTGAAGGCATAGCCTGTATCACAGATGGGATGTTCAGGGGAACACTGGATGAACAAGTTGAAAAGCTTGAATATGTTTTTCCTTTAAGGGCAGTGATCAAATTAACCACTATTAATTTCTGTACATTAAGGAAAGTGCTATTGCAGAGCCACAGGATATACGAAGGAGGGAAGATATTTGAAACCTTCGATAGAAAAGGAAAATAATGAAATCCAAGCCTCCCACAGGGTGCAGGGAAGGGTGAGGGTATAATTTCTGAGGAACAGAGGGCTTGTATCCACAGACTGACCCCACAAGTTTTTTTTTTAAATATAATAGATATAAGGATAGATATAAGGAAAATCCTTTAGGAAAGTCTGCCTTGTAACAGGTTTTGACAAAACATTGCCCTGCATTCTTCCTATTGCCTCTTCTTTTCTAGAAGAAAACCTTTTGACAGGTCATATTCTTGTAGTTTAGAGAATGAGAGTCACAAACCCACCCTCTAGCCTGCAATGTACTGTAGTGCTGAGCACACTCCTTTGCCAAGAGTAGGATGGCCCATCCAGGCAAATCCCTCTCCTTTTACAGCTTTCTCCCTCCTTTCAGTTTTCATATTGTTCAAGAAACATGAAATTATTTCCCAGAACATATTCACTGTTGAACCAACCCCATTCCCTATGCCAGTGTTTGGAAACCACTGGTCTGTTATGATGCAGAAAACGAGCGGTGCATTCCCCTCTTCCTTTGTATCATCCTATTTCCTTCCCATAATCAACTTTTGGAGTCACCTTTCCACTTCAGACTTAGGTTTGTGCCTGTGACTATTTTTTCATGCTAGATTAGAATTTGCCTGGTGTGAAATTTCCATATTCATGATAAGAAGGGGAAGTTCTTTTTCCAAATGAATGTCAACAAAAAGCTGCAAGTTCCCATGCAGCACTACAGGTGAGGGGGCAGGAACTGTAATTATATTAATTTATATATATGTATTTATATACAGGGGCAGTGGTTGGTGCATGTGAATCAAAGAGAAGCAAGCACTGGCATTGCTCATCCAAAGGAAGTACTTAAGGGGAACAAGTCCAATCATCACACCTAAATACCTGCAGCAGAAAGGGTGTGCCTGTACTGCACTGGGCTTTTAGTTGGCACCACTATTTTGATGGGCTTTTTCTCACAACCACATCCAGTAACTCTGGAGCCTCACTCTTGCAATGTTTCCTCTCCTGCTCCATCACCTGTAGCTGTCTGATTCTGGATCACAGGACAGAACAATGGTGTGCTCTACTGCTGTTAAAATGGGGCTCTGCCCTGAAAATCACTCTGAGCAGAAACTCCTTGAGAACTACTGGGAACAAACCTCCTGAAGGGCCTTTGAAAATGTGGAGGAAGAAGGCAAAACAAACAAATCAGGATAAGGGTGACAAAAGGGTCACATGTTGGGCTGATCAAAAACTTGCTTATTACTTTGCACACATGATACTCATTCCCTCTGTTCCACGGACATTCCATTCAATTTTACACATTTTACAGCAACGTGGCACATCAGATGTGCAGCAGGACCACGTGCACAGAGCACAGCACCCCCAGGCCAAGCTCTTTGCATACGCAGCCCCATGCAGATGAATCCAGCCTGAGACTCATAAGCCGATTCCCATGATTTCCAGCGAGGCAAGTTTTCAATTCAGCAAAAAGCTGGACTGTCAGCTAAGCCATTTATGGCAGCTCTCCCCATCTGCAGCCCTTCCCCCTGTGCACAAACCCTCCTTCTGTACATTGCTGCAGAGTTATGATCAGTTCCCACAGGGTGATTCTGGGGAGACAGTGCTTGCAGCGGGAGATATTATAATTGGCAATAATTCAGGACCCAAAAATGGGATACAGGCCATAGTTCTCCTTGATCTTTCCTTACAGCACAGCTAAGCCAGAATTTCTATCACGCTATCTGTGACATTAAAATCTCTGATGTTGGTCAGGCTCCAAAGTGATGGGGGGAACTTAAGAATAAACTTTCCAGTCAAACCTGCATCAGTCTTTGTGTCAAAGTGTTCCTTCACTCATTTCCAGCCAAACAGATTTAAATCCGTGGAAGAATGAAGGAAAAAAAATAATATCAAAGCAGTAAATGAGAAGGCTGCATACCAAATCCTCTCC